GACAACATCGTTCTAGTGGCTCAAGCAATCAGGCCACTATTGAGTCCATTGTGCAACCGCAGACTCACTAGGGCTCTTCAAGAGCTAGAGCCAGACCGATCCTGCTGTCTGTTAGCTGTAATCATGCAGAGCTGATAATAATGTATATTTTAGAATTCCTTCTCCTGCACGAGGCATCATCAGAGGGGCCTGAAACATGTAGGTGTACTCTCCTTGCACAGAGGCTAGTCAGCAATGTTGCTGTCAGTCTACACTGCTTCATGTCAAGGTCAACGTCTCTTCAAAGTTTATCCGATGGTTCCACGTGTAATTTAACAAATGTTCACCGACGATTCGGAGAAACGTACTGCCTCCATCTTCAGGATCCAATAAACAGAGGGAGCAATCAGTAAGCAGTAATCGCTTTCGTCTCAGCATACTATTTGAACCTATAGACCGAGGCAGTATACTGCTCCCAAACATCGGTGAATTCTTTCGGGCTATATGGCATCACAGCCCTGTACATAGGGTTCGTCATATTTAACGTCGCGAGAGCCTCAGATCTCACCTAATTACAGTCTACACGTCTCCAATTAGAATGAGGCTGCATGGTACGTAAACAGGATAGAACGTGACAGTTGTTGATTTTATTTTTCGTTGCCACTAAAATTTTTATGTTCATGCCTCACCTATAAATAGCAGAGCAGTAGATTCTTCGAAAATCTGAAAGAACTTAAAAATATTTGGGAATTACAGTAACAAAAAAACATTTCCTCCACAAATGTCATAAGAAGATTAAATTCGGGGAACGTTTGCTACCGTTCGGTTCAGAACATTTTATCGTCTGTTATTCAAAGACTTAAAGGTTAAATTATAAAAGGCAAAAAGGTAAAGCTATCCCTGTGCGTACCTAATGAAGCACTACGCTATGAAGGCGTATAGCTATGTAAATGGATGTATAGTTCCACATTTTCTTGACCTCGGCATTAGTTGTAGGCGAGTTCTCAGCTTCACCCCCAGGTATCCATTCGATATGAGGCTGTGTGGGCCCCAGAGACGGTCTGGACGTGCACAAAATTCTTGACCCTACCAGGACTCGAACTTCGAGCCCTCCGTCGTCCAGCCCGCAGCCAGTCGCTATACAGACTATGCTATCCTGGCTCCAAAGATTAAATTATACAAAACGATAATTTCAGCTGTTTTTGTATGGATGTAAAACTTGGTATTTTAGCCCACGGATTGAGGGTGTTTGAGAACGAAATGCTGAGGACATGTGGACCTAACAGAAAGACGAAGAGACATACAGATTGTATTGGTATTTCAGTTTCAGTTCTCTCTCCGAAGTTGTCCCTGTACTTAAACTTCTACGCATTCTTAAGGTTGGCACTAGATGGAAGAGAGTGGACAGCTTCATGCTCTGGCCGCTTTACCAACGGGGAAATAACCTCCGCTATTCATTGTACAAAGTTGTACGAAATATGCAGTGTCACCCCCCATATTCAGTCAATGTTTTACGTATATCATGTTCAGAGCAGCAGCGGGTGAGATGCATTCGTATCGTAATTCAAGACACGAAGGGCATCGCAGAAAAGCATCAGGGCGCTAACTCTAGAGCAACTCCGCACTTTGATAATAATTAGTGGAAGAAAAGTTTGGAATTATGTTTACATCCGAAACCACATCGATTCACTGGAAGAAATTTCTCTGACTTTTTAAAATTTGGGAAAGTTTTATGTTAGGCTTGGTAATTTACTGTTGTTACAAGTTTTTCAATTATAAAAAACAAAGTTATTCAACCCTACCTAAAAAAAGTTGCATAGAAATATTTCCCTGCCTACAATCACACAATATAAAGGAAGAACAATGATCGTGGACTTAAAAATTCAGTTGTCGCAAATGACTTAACTGGGGAAACACCAGCCAAGACAGTCAACTTGCAATGTATCACCTGCCAACGGACTGAACCCTGTATTTTGGTACATCTAACGGATCTAAAGCCTGGTGACTGGATCAATACATCCCCACCCAAACCTTGCGTGCATGTCAGCCCCCACAGACGCATGCTATGGCCTTTAAACTCCTACCCTCACCCATTCGCGCTGGCGTCTGCTGCTGCTTCTGCCTAGACAGCGTAAAACCTGTGGTTGTCACCCTTCCGTCGTGTGGGACCAAGCTGTAACCTGTCTCCGGCAGGAAGTGGGGGAGTCAATTTGAAGAACTTCTCGCAAGGACTTGAGGAATAAATCTCAACTTGAGGGCCAATCAGGTGAAAGCAAACTGGAAAATGGACAGCTTCAACAAACGCTAGGGGCATAGATTCAAGGAAAACACATACTGAGAAAACAAGGAATTCATCAGCTACAGGAAAATGACTAACGAAAGAATATCTAATAAAACGGAACAGAAAGAACTGTAGAGAAACTCAAGGGCTGGGCAACATAAAGAAATGGTAGATTCTAACGGGATCTAACGATGGTGTATTAAACTCAGAATTACTGGGTTTTGGGCTTTGTCCATCGTTTGGTATTCTAGAAACTAGAAAACACGTTTCGGAAACTGGATCTGTTTCCATCCTTAGGTGAGGGGGAGGCACCTACTCTGTTGGGTCCCTTAGAAAGAGATAACATCAATCACTGGACAACCCATGTCAGTATAATTACCGCTATATAAACTCCTCTGAGACCTATATTGAGTTCTATTGGTTTCCCTTGCTGGGTTTCTCCATAATATACAGAGTCCTGCTGCCAGAAAATCGGAATTCTCCATAAAGAATTCAGGCCACTTTGTACAGTTGCTGAAGTCTGTGAACTTTGAACCTCTACAAACTCTCTTTCGCTTTAATGCAGTTAGTCGTAACACCAATGTGCCTGTCAACGAATCCTTAAAAGTTATAAGAAATAAGCTCCACAACGTCTATGTATGTATATGGCCATCTAAGGCCGAAACATGTTGTGTTAAAGTATAAGTGGAAGAGAAAGGAACAATTTGTAGCATTATTGACGGAATATGTCATATATAGACGTTTCAATATGGTTTGCAACAAGATGCTTAAGCACAGAAGCTCCATAACGATGACACATGGCAAAACGGACTGTCTTGCAAGTCGAAGCCATCGCGAAAATGCTGGAAGCTTGAGAACCACGTATTTTCAGGTGGATGATAAGTTCTTCCAACATAAAGATGGCATGGCTATGGGAAGCTCTCTCTCCCATCATTAGCAATATCTTCATTGAGCATTTTGACAAATTCGCTCTTGACTCAGCAGGACACAAACCATCGCTGTGGCTCTAACACACTGAAGACACGTTTGTGGTCTGGCCTCATGGTCCACAGCGGTTACATAATTTCGTCAGCCACCTCAATTATTTAAGGTCTTCCATCCAATTCACTATGAAAACAGAGTCAGACAGTGTGATTGCTTTTCTGGATGTCATGGTCATCACGAAAGAAACGATACTGGCCACCAAAGTCTACAGAAAACCGACCACACATTGGCCGATAGCTCATCTTCAAATATAACCTTCCGACGCATCTGAAGAGGTTTAATTCAGAGTCTTCACAATATAGCTCCCATGGTTAAAGAAAACGGTTATCCCCAAGGTTTCATTGACTAGGTCATTAATTCCAAGGATAGCAGTCTTCTGAATAAAGAGCAAAAGCCTCTGAGCTCTGTGTATATCCCATATGTGAAGAGTGTTTCAGAGAAGTTCATCGTACAGGGAAGCTATATAACATTAGGACGATATTCAACACTAAACACTCTATTAGGAGTTCACTCATGAAACCCAGGCCAGTGGTCAATGAACCCATTCACCAATTGTCAATAGTCACACACATAAATCACGACAATTATTTTCCTGTTACCTCCCTTCTACAAAGCCTGGTCTCAGGTATTGATATAGCTGTAGTTACACTGACATGCACTGTCCAGAGATTGAGGTTAGCTCTTTCTAAGGGACCCAACAGAGCGTTTTCCTCCTCACATGAGGATGGAAACAGGTGAAATTTCCAAAACGTTCTATTCTCTAGTTTTCAGAATACCGGGCAATGGACAAAGTCCAAAAACCCACCAATTCTGAGGAGAAAGAGATGGGAATATTATTTCTGAATTAAGCTGCAAGTCCACAGCTTGCAGAGCGAGAAGACTGCTTCCACACTTGGGGGGGGGGGTTAGCTGTAAATATGTTGAATAGGTAGTTATGGTCATCTAGCATGGGGATTGGGAGGGGAGATAACAATCCCTCACTGTAAAATCAACCAACACGTCTCACAACGCTTTTAATATGGAAACAGGAAATAAATCCTTTACTATTATAAAGTTAGACAGCTCCAAGATGTTGAGGTTTGAATGGCATGTTGTTTTGATATAATTTAAAAACTTAGTGAATTTGTGTTGAACTGGGAAACACAATGTTACATGCTTCCTGTAGATCTTGCCAATAGTCAAAGAATACTATCTTCTAGGATGTAAAGTTAGGTACTGTTGTAGAAATATACTGATATAGAACTGTCCTGCCTCAACCTTCAGGGTTGAAGAGTAAGCCAAGCAATCAATCCTCTGCTTGTTTCTTTCCTGCTTGATATACTCTGACTCTTCTGAAATGCCTGCAAATTTCTAACAGATTACATAACAACAATTAAGAAGACAGCATTCTTCATAGTTACTGCTTTGAGAACCTGAAATCTAACTCATTAAGAGTCCTTTCCTGCAAGGGAGCTGTTCATTTGGCCACCCTTGTACAATTCTACATGTACATGACAATTACTTATTCTCTTTCTAACCTTTACATCAATTCTTTAATCTAAAACACACAACAACGAACATAAAAATAAATTATAGTGTGCAGGATACTAAGGATTAGGTCAGGAGCAAACAGGACAGTTGGCCATCTTTTAATTAATCTGACCTCTAGAACAAATTAAAAGCAGAATACTTTAGCATGGCACAATAAATGGCCAACTCAGGATATAGGACACAGGATATATGACTGTAGATTGTACACATTATACTATTTTAAAACTAATGTTCTCATTGTTGTTATTATTATTATTTGTTCCATTACTGTACATTAAAGGCATTCACAGTGAAAGATGGAAGCATATTATGCAATAAAAATCAAATGTATGTGCATTGTCTCAGCCTAGCAAGACTGAACAATCTCCACTATGCTCGTGGTATGAAAGGAAAGAAAAAAAAATGCATAATATCAGTTTACAAAGCAATGACTGAAAAGTGAAAGATGAAACATGATCAAACCATCAGCAACAGAAAATTGATAATAGAGACATCACTACATCATTTCCAGCTTGACACAGAGTATTACTGTTCAATAACAAAATACTTCCGAATAATCAGTGCTCTAAATGCCTTGTTTGTTTATGGAAGTCCACAACATAAGTCTGAATCCATAACACTGACCATATGGTGATACACAATACTTCAGTCACGTTGCCCCATACTTGGCACTTGTTACAGGCAGTCTTGAGACAATGGGGCAAAATTCATGATCATGTGTGCAAGATATTTCATGCCAATTTACTGCAATAATTGAAATCCATGAGTCATTGATAGCACATAAAGGTTGGGCACCAGCATCAACTAATACAATTAACTGTCACATGTAAATACAATTATTAATTTGCTTAACAGAATTTTACAAAATACTTACAAATCTGTACAAACAAGTAGTCTACAGCCATATTTAATGTGATTATTACAAGTAAAATTAAAGTTTTATTTGTATATTAAAAACAATCCCAAAACTTGGGGAGGGAAAGAGGTATTAAGAAAAAAATGTACAACTATTTCTCTTTGCCCATAATATTCTATTGCCTAAATCTTAGTTCATACTGATCAATTTAAAACAGTACGTTGCTTCTTAAAGAAAATATCTTAAAACATTTGGAATTGCAGTAAGCTCTTTCAAAATCTGGAAAAATCACTGGCAGGGGTAACTAGTCACAGGCTCATGTATGGAAGTCTCAATACCAAGCGCATGAGAATGAGTACTTCTGTTAGCCAGAACAATGAGACAAAAAAAGTCAATTTTCTGCAATAAAGTGCCAATATGATAGGGGGAAAAAAAACTGTTTTAGAGAAAAAAAAATGAGCTTAACTGCAAAAACTTCAACCTCAGATACCAGTCATCAAGTCCTCCAGGCCCATACAAACAGAATGAAAATCTTACACAATCTACATGAAATGTGCATCTTGGTGCTACAGTGACTCAACTTCAAAAGCATTATACAACAGTGCATTTCAATTATATGTCCTTCTATACATAAAATTGAGAAATTGTTTTTAAAAAAAGTGGTAGGATGATTCGGCATAAAAAGAATGGGGTTTTCTTACTTTGAAATAGAAGAGAGATGTAGTAAATAAAAATAACGTAAAGCCTCAAATCAACGCACCATATTCAAAGCTCTCATATATAAGATTTTGTCCAGGTGCACACACAGCTAAAGTGAAGATAAAATCCAGCAATTCTTCACTCTTGCATTGAATTACGGTGCATCACAAATCCAATGGTGTAGTTGCGAGAGGCGCGCCCCATCCTGCGAAGACGATCTGTAGCAAAAATTAACATATCAATGACATATTCTTTCTTCTCAATGACAACCTGTACCAGAATCTACCATGTTGTGTCTTACAAAATTCTTTGCTACATACAACATACCTCATTACAAAATCACTTGTTACTAAGCAATGTGCAAGTTCATATGAGTTCCACTGGCCCTGAATGTAACCATATACCATGCCTTGCCACATAAATTCACAGCAGCCTCAATACAGGTCACCAGTTTCATCCTTAGGCAACAGAACACAGTAGAATTCATTACTGTCACCTTGATTATGGTCACTCTGATTTGATCTGTCTTCTGAAGTACGTGCAACTGTGCAAATGTGATTAATTTATGTTATGGAAAATTATGGCACAACACACTGCCAATCAAATACCATAGCTGAATTGTAAGCCCTCCTGCTTCGTGTTCAGGAGGTCCCATGTTTGATTTCAGTTCAGAGGCACTGATGTTATTGTAAGATAAAATCACTGTGGTCGCATTGCAAGGGCCAAGAAGGCCCACCCCTTATACAAGATAAATAGGTAAAGGTAAAGATACGGCTGTAACAGGCCATGGAGGCCTACAGGGTTGTGAGATGCTGGGGCTCCCACGTTTGATAACTGGCTTACAGATGGTGGTGACGTTGTCAGCCTTATATGCCCACCATCCTTTACATCCAGGAAGACTCCTGGTACTCATTGCTGTTAGGGGATGAGTTGAACCCACGGATATAGTGTGGCTGGATGGATTAGGTCACATGAAAAAATCAATGACCTCACTGGGAATCGAACCCATGACCTTCTGGCTTGTAGCATGGTGTCTCAACAAACTATGCTTCTGTCCCCACTGATGTTACTGTTCCTTTTAAAATTGCAAGACATGTAAATAATATTTATAATATTACATGACTTATGAATATTGAAATAAAATTGAAAATTTAAAGAACTTTGCCTTACAAAAATGTTATTTCTTCTGATTACCTAACAAATGAACATGGTTTAGTTAACCTTTCATATCATTTAGGAAAATATTTTTTTAAACTGTACTGCTTGTGACGATTTTAAAAACTGCTTGTAAAAGGACAGTAAATTCCAGCTAACAATTTGAATAACTACACTTCTTGAGCAATACAAGTGGCCAGATACCACAGTATTTGCTTTCATGAAACATCCATCACCTCTAACTGAAATCTGGTACACATTAACAAAATAGGCAATCTTCCTCTGACAGAAAAGTAAGAACTAATTACGAGTATATTAGCCTATTGACACTAGGGAGCAATTTGAAAATAGATAATCACATCCCATATTTGCGTGTATATTTATCTCATTTTGGAGGCACGCGGTAGCGTAGTTGGTTGAGGGGCTATGCTACTAGTCGGAAGGTCACGGGTTCAAGTCCCGATGAGGTCACTGGATTTTTTTTCAGTTGACCTAATCCTTCCAGCCACAACAGGCCCTGGGGTTTACTCAGCCTCTAACAGAAATGGGGAGTAAAGCGCGGCCAGCGCGTAAGGCTGACAACCTTACCGCCACCTTTGAGCCGATTGTCTAGACAGTGTGGGACCCTCAACGTCTCACAACCCTATGCGCCTTCATGGTCTGGTACAGGGATAGCTTTACTTTTACTTTATTATTTATCTCATTTTAAATAAAATGTTTTAGTGACATAAACTGGGAACTTGTCACATGATATTCACCTGTACCCAAACTTCCCCCCATTTAAGTACTGACATTAAGAACGGAGGACCTATACACCTCTAGTCCAAACATGTCTACACGGTAAGGTGCGCAAAGGACTTTTAAATGTTTACCCATCTATACTACAAAACATTTACAATGGATTTCACACAAAATTTACTAATTTATTAATCCCTGCCACTAGATGGGCTGAGCAGTCGGCTTCAACATTCATATACTCTGATATGTATAACTATTAGCCAGATTGTTTTATATATATATGCCTGCTACTTACTACAATATAAAATACTCTACTGATGCTGTGTTCAATGGATCTGTTAACCCATTTCAAATGTTGAACAGTGACTTCAAAATTCAAACAAGTGAAAGTGTAAACTGTAAAGTCATAATGGAGGAAAATAGATACGATACAACTCTGAAAACCATAACAACTGACATCCCATCTGGATGCATTTCTAATCATAACCATAACAGAAACACAAACTACTGCAAACATAAAAACATAATAACCAGTGTGTCAAGCTAGGGACAGACACAACATAATTACGCCAATCCACACATGTAAAGATTCGGGGGACAAATGAAGGAGACGCAAAGAGATTTATGACAAGAAAAAGCTTGAGCATCAGGATCTTTGGAACCAAATTAATACATTCCCAGTCACAATTGTATTATAACATCCCAAACAAATATAAAAGCATTAATAAATTCATGTGTAACTTGTTACATTGTCAGAAGACAGAGACATCTTAAAAGTTTTCTAACAAATTGAGAATTTTATACATTATTTTTAGTTTTAGTTTGTAATGACACTGTCAGTATTGATACATATGTCAATGACAGGATGATTAATGAATATGGTGCAGTTGATGGAATGACAACTGACCAGGGAAACAGATGTACTTACAAAAACCACCCCAGTGCCACTTTGTCCACCACAGATCCCCCAAGACCTGGGACTGAACCCTGGCTGCTGCAGTGGGAAGCCGGTGACTAGCCACTTGAGCTATGGCATGGCCTACACATTACTGTTACCATATATGGAAGTAGCAGAATGAACACACTTCAAGTTAAATAGGAAGTAATACATGATCTACATGCAACATTACTTTATATATACTAAAAGATGAAGAGCAATTCTATTCATACACAAAATGGTCAAGCAATTATTGCGGATTAATATCATTTTAAAAGTAAAAGAGTCCTTAAAGCCGGGTCCAGACTTGTTGCGTATCCCTGTATCGTATCTCCGTTGCGTATCGTCCGATGCAACGCGACAAAATTTTGCGTCCAGACTTGTTGCGTATCTCCACTCCACTCCATTCAGAGTATATAAACAGAGAATCACAAACAGAAGAACGCACACTGGTGATGACTACACTCCAACTGTCTGGAGCTGATAAGCAAAGCGCGATGCAGCCGCCTACACGTCCAGACTGGCACCACTGCAACCCGAGTCATCCCTTTGATGCGACGGGAAAAGACCGCCAAGCGAGCGAACAGCCCGTTGCGTATCATTTTCCAACGGAAGGATGATACGGGGTACCGTCCACACTGATACAATATGGGAATATGCAACAAGTCTGGACCCGGCTTTACAGGCTATGCAATGCAGAAAGCCTTGCTCCTGCAGCAATGAGTAAACAGAAATCTGACTTTAATGTTCTTGTCAATCAGTATTTCATGTTATTGAAATAACCAGCCATTTAAAACACCTGACATCTAACGTGATAGTATACATCTCACATGCATATAACACTCTGATAAGGAAAATTTTATACTGTGAGAAAATATTTCTGAGGTTTTTTACCATTGCTGGAAATAAAATTATCCATTTTTTATTGTTTGGCATCGAAAAGAATGTCTGTGATAAGACGCCTAAGCATGTACTTTTCTCCTCTTACTATAATTATGTCATAGTACTGTACATTTTCACATCTGCAACTTTCAAAACCAAGAGCTGTATNGAATGTTTTTAATAGCAACCTCTGATGAAAACACAACTAGCCCAATGAGAGAACTGAGTGCTCACACCTAACGAGTTTTCAGTAATACAAAATTTACACTTAATTATACAACTTCCTGCAGTAGAATTAGGGATACCATTACAAAAATTGATACCCTTATACTCAGATACACCTATATACATGGTGTGTTGATCTGCCAACATGGTATAACAAAATTCTACAGAAAAAGGGCATCTTCTGCATTTACAGAAGTATTTATAAGATATACAATCCATAAAATTCTTCAAAGGATACCCATCAAGTCAAATATAGATGAGTAATTACATCAATAAAAAATGATCATAAACCAATTATCAAATGATATGTTCCCTTGAATTAACAAATTTCAAATGCAGACCAGAAACACACCTTGTAGCGTTGTCCACAAAGTTCCTTCTCTCATTGGAAAGGAACGTTCGTTGCAATAAAACCGGCAAACATACAACATAATAAAGATCCAGGACTAAGAAGCATCTGTTTCAGAGCACAAACATTGCTGTATTAATGTAATAGATGCTTACATCATGTTACAAATTCTGTAACATTACACGCATATATACTAGCATATTACTAACAGTAAGTACAGAACTACCACCTAAAATTAAATCTTAAACTTAAACAAAATAACACACTGCAGTGAGGAGACTAATGGATTGGTTATTCAAGTCGGGCTATTAATGAGTGAAATGGCATTCTGATCATCCAGCAAGACAGATTTTGTTTATGAGAATGCATTAACAGTTACATTTTGTATGCAGTCAGCAAGCTGTTTCCCTTGCAAAGTGAAAATGAAAAGAAATAAGGTATTTCATGTCATGCTTATATTTTATTTTCATATTTCACACATTATATTTGTTACAATAACATTTTATATACTAATGATAAACTCAGCACTGCACTTTCAGTTAAGAATGTGCAAAAAATTCCACAAAATATTTTTGCACAAACTTAGTTAATTCCTTTTCAATTGCAAATTTAAAGGAAAACATACTGCATACTCAATGAAACTTGAGAAGCAACTTCTCAATATGCACATCATTACACTGAATTAATATATCAAAACATGATGGGAGAGTTGCGGAACACCAGCATGAGATGAGGACTGTGGGGCATTGGGGGAGGGTGTTTGAATCTTATTCCAACAGAAGTTTCCTTATCTGCAAGTGCGTATGTTTTGTGTTTCACATGAGACTCCAATTTCACTTCTGTCTTCAATGAAAATTTTAATATTTCTTGTTTCTGGACAAATTATGTTATTTAAAGCTGTTTGAAAATACCCCATACAGAAACTCAAAAGT